CCATGCTTAAAAGAAAAGAAAATAAAAATAAAAATAAAGTAATCTGAAAAGGAATTCACCTTCTAAGTTAGGTGACCCTCATCTGGTTACTTAGCCTAAAGGTAGTGAAACCTTTAAGAATAATGCATATATGATTGTGTTAAATAATCAAATTGTTGAATTTTGACATAATATGGATCATGATCATTAACGGGCCCGCTTACCATGTGTGTACAAATAACAGTCTTAACGTGATTGCGTCTGAATGAAAAAGGACGAAAAACTGGGATGGGTAAATTAGGCCTAAGTATAATGACATGATTGTGGATTGGTTTGTATAGGAAGGAGATTTATGACTGCAAATGCGGAATGTGTTATTACGATGCCCTTAGTTTACGAGTTAGTACCTATCGACATGACCTTGATCGAATTAGAGTATTTAGCCTGGAATAATTACCTGAGTGCTGCTGTTTTTATTCTTATGAGTATGAATGTTTGCTTGAGGACAAACAATAGTTCAAGTGTGAGAGGTTTTGATAACACCAGAACACACCGCATATTTGACTTGACTTGCACATGTTTTCTTGTTGTTTTTCTTTTATTTCTAGTATTATGCTGATGTTTTGTCTACATTTCAGGTACCTAATCAAGTGAGAGCTAATACATGAAGAAACGAGGCGAATCAGACGAGAAAGGGAGAAAAAGGCATATTGTACACTTACGACGTCCAACATGGCATTCGCTGCAGAGGTAGCCATGATGTAGCTAAGGTGTCCCACACTCCAACGGCCATGAAGACTCATCCGCCACCTTTTAGACATGTGGCGTTCGCCACAGGAGGGATGGCGTTCGCCATCCTTTGTGAAAACGCGACAGTCAAGGCAGTTGGAGAAAGGTCTCCCCACTACTCCCTTTTTCTCTCACATGAACCCAACATTTGTAACTTTATTTCTAAGGCTTTGTAGCACTATAAATAGGGGTTAAAACTCACTTTTGAGACATCCAAGCTTAGTACAATTTAAGCCCTATATTTATCATTTGAAAGCTTTAGTTCTTCACATCGAGGAGTTATTGCATCGTTCTTGTATTGAGTTTGGAGCTGTTTATTTTATAGCAGTTAATCTTGCCAGCATTTATATTACCCTTCAAGTTTTCCATCAATTTACTTTGTACCAGATTCAAGTCTCCGTTAGGAGCAGGTTTTTTTTATTTATTATCATCAACATTTATTTAATTCCTTTTGTCTATTTACTTAATATGCATTCTTGTTATTTTCTTGTCTCACTTTAATTTCAAAGTTTAATTTATCAATTGTGTGTCCTAAATTTTACTTTATTTGCATAATATGTCTAATTCCAAGTTTCGATCAAACGCTTTATTGTTCACCATGAATATGTCCGACTAAACTGTTAGTGTTGGAATATGAGGGTCGTTGATTGACAGTACTCTACCTGTTATTCCTTTAGAGTTACTTTTGGGCCTATTTTAATTTTATTCATTTTAAATGGAGTTTAAATTGACTGGTTATTGCGAGAGTAAAACCATAAATATGTCGGGTAAGATCGAAAGTCGTCTGATAATTAAGATTAAATATGTTTAATTTTTTATTAATAAACACTGTGAGAGCACCTAATTAATTAATTAGGAGAGTTTAATATTTCTGAAAAGTGATTTTAAAACTATTTTCGGACGCGTTTATAATTTTAGAATCTGGTTGAACGAGCGAAAACCGGGAACCTTTTTAAGTTAAACTTTCCAATCAAAATCACTTTTCAACTAAGTAAAAGAAGCTAATTTCTAAAAAAGGTTTTTCTACTTTAATGCAAACGCAACCGGGCACGCGAGAGCGGACAATATTAATTAGAGAGTAAAACCTGGTTCCAAATATGCGATAGCAACAATTCCTTTTTAATTAATTCTTTTTCAAGGAAGAAAATATTGCACCGTAGGTAGTTCTACTTAGGAATAATAAGAGTATTAAAGATCGACGAGAGCTGCATTCTAGTATTATATTTCTAAATTTATTCAAGTTTTATTATTTTATTTTGTTGTTCCCTTTCCAATTCTTATCTTGATCGCTTAAACACCGTAGCAATAGTAAATGATAGATTGACCATTAGGTCTATATGGGTTCGACACTTTTTATACTTCTCGGATACACTCTGTATACTTGCGAAAAGTACCCATCAGGGGGATAAGTATAATCTCATGGGGAGTAGAGTATACTTTTTACTCATGTGATAGAGAGTTTAACCACTACAAAATTTATCTATGTGTTTTCTATTTTACCATCTCCTTGAGAGATGCGTTGTCACCATAAAAAGAGGGATAATATGAATCTATGTGTTTATAGGTATAGTCAAAGTGATCTAAGATGGTGAATCTTATCTACACCTTCATGCCTTAAAATTAAAGAGCATCCAAATATTAGATAATGCCTTGAGTGTTATTGTCTTTTGCCTCAGGGATAAACTTCTAATAGTAGTCACCAAATAGAAGAGTGTGATTTCGATGTGGGAAAATCTTGAATAATTGAATTAGTTTATATGATCAAGTCTTTTTCTCATAGGTTCTATTTGAAACAACAACTCTACATATTCTAAATGGTAAATATCAAATCTACAGTGGACTAACTGATAGAATTTTAAAAGATCATTAACAATTTGGAGAATATTAAGGTGAAGATTGATGATGATGACAAATATCAACTCTTGTTAATCACATTACCCATATTCTTTGAGCACTTCAAGAATTTCATTATTTATGGTAAGGAATATATTATCATTTTGGATAAAGTTTAGACAACTGTGAGATTCAAGGAATTTTCAAATGTGAAAGATTTGAAGATTGAAGATAATGGTGAATACTTGTCTCAAGATGGGAAAATAAGTGTATATGGATGTCCAATTCCAAGAGATTTAATAAGTAGAGTTTTAAATGCTTCATTTGTCATAAAACCAGACACTTTAAGAAGGATGAAGATTATGTTCAAATTATTGTTTCCCTAAGAAATTTAAGATAGTGTTGATGTACAAGCGATATCTAGTTTGAAGGTTGAAAAAAATTTGGGTCATGAACTTCGAATGCTCTTATCACATGGGTTCTAAGATAAGAAAACTTTTAGAGTTTGAAGTTGGAAGACGGTGGGGTCGTTTAAATAGGTAGAATTCATGATTGCAAGATTAATGGTGTTGCTACAATTAGACTTAAAATGTTCAAAGACTGTGAGTTCTTTCTATGTAATGTGAGGTATGTTCTAGGTTGTTTCCCTATAGTTAAACATGAGGTGTTGAACATTTTGCAAGATGGAATGATCATGGTTAAAAGGTCTAAATATGTGAGTTATATATTTTATATGGTTTTACTGTTATTAGTTGTGCATCATCGTGAAAACTTTCATGAAAATAATAAGTTGTAAGATTTGAGGTCGGGGAATGATAGTCGTTTGGAGGTTGTATTAAAGCACTTTAATGAATTTTTTTTTTAGGAAACATGGGATAAATACACATATGACCACTTCTATCACGGTGCTAGAAGATGAGTTTCCATAAAGTTTCTTGGTTAAGGTTAATGTCAAAGCAACTTACCTTATCGAAAGATATCCATTCACAAGAATAGACTTTACGACACTTTTTGGAGGTTTGGAGTAGGAAACCTGTAGACTACTCTGATTTGAAGGTCTTCAAAACTTTGTTGTTTGCACAAATCAAACTAATCCAACTTGATGGTAAGGTTGTGAAGTGTGTCTTCTAGAAAACAAAAAAAAAATTATAACTTGTGGAAAATGAAATCTTTAGAGGATCAAAGTTCACCATAACAAGATGTATTTTACTAAGTACCGTAAAGGGAGGAAAAGTAATGACTTGAAGATGAATATATTATAATCTATGGTGAATACTACTCAGTTTGAGGTGGAGAAATAGTGAAGATTTGGAGATGAAGATTTTTAAAGCAACTAAAGTTAAAGAAGGTTGAAAAAACATACTTGTGGGCTTGATGGTAGGGTGAACGTGGATCCAAGTGGCAAGATCAAAGTTTAATGGTGGTTTAAACATGATCAATATTAATGAATAATAATTTCAACATTAAAGAGAGTAGCAAAATGGTTGATAGGTAAATTGACATCACCATCGATTTTAAGTCAATATGAAAATTTATGGAAATATGTTTTAAAATCTTAATTGTTAAAAGAGAGAAAAATATATTTATAGACTCTTAGAAATCTTATAACACAAAAAAAAGTATTAGAGAAGATGCGTCAGAACTGCGAAGGCAGTGACATGGTGATCAACAACAATCATTAGAACTCTGATGGTCTATAGTGGCAGTCGATCGATTGACAGATGACAATAATGAGTAGTCCTTGGAGTATTTTGCTTTATCTCCCTCCTTTGTACTCCTACTTTTCATTAACATATATTTATTGGTCTAAAAAACAAAATTATATTGTTTGTATCTTGTATATTTTTTATTAATACAACTTTTTTAGTATATTAAAAAATAAAATTCAATAAATTTTAGGTTTAATATCTTTTTGGTCTCGTATATTATCTTCGGAGTTTATTCTAAATTAAAAAAAATATTTATATTAGTTTTTTAACTCTTCAAAATATATCACGTTAATTCTTTTTGTCTAATAAGTAAGGAATTATTGATTGATTTTTTAGTTTTTTTATTGTTAGTTAAAAAAAAAGATTAATATGACACATTTTGAAAAATTAAGAGATCAATATATATATTTTTTAATTTAAAAGATCAAAATAACCTATATTAAATCTAATTTTTATCATTTTAACTATAAAGTTAAGTTAGTGTAGTTTGTGTTTTTAAATAAAAATTAAATTAGACTAATTAATAATAAAATATCTCTATGAATCAAGACAGATAAATAAATAAACTAGGTGCTTATCAAAAAGAAAAAATAGAAAAAACAAGAACCACACATGACATGAAACACATCCTATTATCCATTCATTCATTTTTGTTTGCGAAGATACTCACACCAACCATCACATAAAAAAATGTCCTTCATCTCTGTTTGTTGCTGCAACGGTTCGGTAGCTCCACTGTCCAGTCCTATTAATCTTCAAGCTCCACTACAACCATTCACACTGAAGAGAACCACAGTCATAGCTTCTGCTTCAAAATCTGGAGGAGGATTATCACTCAGTTCGGTTTGTACTATGCCTTTCACACCTTATCATACTAATCATATACCATATTATTTTGATGCTTATGGTTGATTTTCATGTTTCAATGCTATTATATTATTGTGCAGATATTTAAAAGTTGTAAGAATTGTGAAGGCAAAGGTGCTATTCAATGTCCAGGGTGCAAGGTGATAATATTCTTTAAACATGTTATGGAGCATAGTTGCAATAATTTAATGTTTTATGTCTCTTTGATAAAATTATCTTTGCTTTGGTTTCTAACAGGGAACGGGAAAGAATAAGAAGAATGGAAATATATTTGAACGGTGGAAGTAAGTTCTTTCGTCGGTTAGTATAGTTATTGTGATACCGAAAGCAGCTGTTGCATTATGAATTAGTTACAATTTTTTTTATTATTATAAAAACGATAGTATTGATATTGACATTTTTTTATGCGGTTTTGTCACAGCTGTTTTTTTTTTTTTGTAAAGAATAGTTTTTATTAAAAATATATTTAACCTTTCTAGTATGTATGGTATATAGGTGCTTTGGCTGCCAAGGGTTTGGGCTAATCGGTTGCCCTAACTGTGGAAAGGGAGGGTTAACACCGGAACAAAGAGGAGAAAGATAAAGAAGCTTAAAAATAACCAATTTTCCTGAAAGTGTGGAGAATTTGGAGATAGTGTAAAATTACATGCATGACGAATTGTGTACTTGAATGCATGACTTTATATGTTTTTTTTTTTTAAATGACAAGAGATGCATATATGATACATGTGACTTAAACGACTAGAATGCAAAAGGAGAAAAGAGATTAAAGCAATTGGTGTTTACATGCGTTTCAGTGATGTGTGTTAGAAATGAGTTGATTTGCGATTCAGTGATGTGTATTAGAAATTGTTATGAATTGTCTCGATGGCTAGGCCGACCCAATTCATTTCTACTCTCAGAACGACTTAATAGTCTAAGCTCCAATAGATAAGGGCAAAGGGAAGTATTTTTTTCCTCTCTCCCTCTGCCGAGGAAGGCTGGCCAGTTGACCCCCAGGATCAGTTGCCCTTCGTCACATTTCTACCTGTCACGCACGGTTTCACTATCCAGAAACAGACACGACGCCCATGCCCACGACCACGTCTTTACCCACGGCAACGACTAGTTCCGAGCACCCCTGTCCGTCCCAATGGCTAGTTTCTAGCAGTTACATATTCTTTGGGACCGAATATCTCTCCCCGAAAATAGGGACCAATGGCCAACCGCTTGTGGCATTATAAAAATCCTCTCATTTGAGAGAGTAATATATTCTAAATCATTCTAAATCACCCTAAGACATACATTATTTGTACTTGTCTTATCTTATCCCGATTCTTACTTTAGCATCAGAGTGCCTTGCAGGTACACCCCTCTTTATCTTTAAAACTCAACATCGCATACAAAGTCTCTGGCCCACTTCAGGTTCTGATCAGCCGTCAAGATCAGTGGCGCTGTCTGTGGGAAACTATATTATCCCCGTCTTTCTTTCCTCGTAAATTCAAGACCAAAGCAGTTCTTTCAAGATTTCAATCATGGTCAGCCATGACAATGTCCACGATACTCGCAATGCCATCCTCCTCGTCAGCAAGACTGACGTTGATAGAGCAACCCCTTTTCTTGGGAGGGACGTCCGTCAACAGAGAGATGGAGCCACCACGTCTCCCTCCCCCGATCGCGTTGACAATGTTGGGGTCCAGCCCTTCGAAGACCATCACACCGTCCCAGTTTTGCCCAATGTCGACCCGATCATGGCGGCCCTCAACAAGACAAACCTTCTGATCCTTCAGCAGAACGCACAAATTGGAGCCTTAGAAGAGTCCCTCCGACCAAGATCTCCTCCGCCAAGGAGAGAGCGCCGGAGATCTCATATCCCTTCTCCCAGACGAGGAAGATACCACCGAGCACTAACAGAGCCAGACTCTCTTGCCGTGAGAAAGCACGACCATGCCTCCACCCGGAGCCAACACTCCTTAAGGGCCAAACGAACTAGAAGGGATCTACGGGCAGAGCGTCAGTGTTCGCCTCCGCCCAGATCCATGAGCCGAGCCCGAACTCCATTTCCCCGCAGAGATCGTGGTCCTTTCCCCGGACAAAGTACCCACTATCGTTCGCGGTCTAGCAGCAGCAGCGACGACGAGCCTCGCGGCCTGTTGTCCCAAGAAATCATGGCCATGCGCCTACCCTAAGGCTAGAGAAACCCCCACCTTTGGGCACACACGGTGGCAGTGCAGATACTGACGAGAACATCGATGCCCTGCTTGATTACCGCGACGTCAAAGGCGCCATCAAATGCAAATTGTTCCCAACCACGCTGAGGAAGGGAGCCATGTCATGGTACAAGAGCCTCCCCTTCGAGTCCATCATATCTTGGAGACAGTTGGGGAGGATGTTCTCTAAGCATTTCACAGCCTCTCGTCGCCACCCAAAGACAGAAGCCTCCTTTGAGGCCATCATTTAAGGGAAAGACGAACCTATTCAAGTTTATATCGAAAGGTTTAACAAAGAAGTCGTCCAGGTCGCCACGACTGGCGATATGAAGAAGTACTTGCTCGAAAGCATGCTCCCTCCCCGTCCCGAATTTGCCAAGACTGTTGCCATCAAAATCCCCGCTATCCTGGATGCCCTCCTCCTCAAGGCGCAAGCATAAATCCAGTATGAAGAGAGGAAAGTAACCAACATTGCTCGGGACACTAGACACCAGGAGAACGCTAGGTCCTCGAAGCACGATGAAGCCTCAACATCTGGTTGGGGAGCCGAAAGAAGACAGGATGACTGCCCCTGGGAATTTCGGGATCATAAAGGGCCGTCTTGCCGATTCCACGATGACACTCTGTAATACCCTAATTTTTACCCCTAAGATTTCCCACATCTCATTTCCATATTTTCATTTCATACCACAAACAAGATTATGCTTTGGTTCCTCTATTCCTCTCATATTTGGGTTTATGCCTTGCAGGGATCACTAAGCATCTGTGTTGTTTCTTATTTGCTTTTATTTGTATGCTTATGTTTACTAACCTTTAATCAAAATAAAAAAAATGTTTGTTTTTCCTTTACGAACTTTTTAGGAAGAATTTGGATAAAGGTTATCAAATATCAGTCCCTCAGCTCGAATGAATTTCATCTGAACAAAGTCAAAGTTGATATGCGAACAATTCAAAATCATCTGATCAAGAGTTTCTCAAGATTTAATTGATAATTATTCAAGAGACTCCAAGGTTCATGTGTTTATTTGCATGCCTTCTTTGATAAGCAAAAAGAATCGAGCTAGAGCCAAGACAACACATCAAAAAAGCAATATTTCACAATTTTTGCATGTGGTAATCGATTACCCTGTGCGTTTTTTAGTGAAAATCTGCCAAATTCAAATTCTGCAGCATTTTTTGGCACCAAATTCAAATGTTTCATCATAAGAATATTCTAGATCACTTCATTTTTATTCCCCTACCTCATCATAATTAATTCCCACTATACACCTTCACTAATTACCACTTGATCTTGATTTTGCCTCCAAATTCAAATTCCAAGCCTAATTTTGGTTCCAAACCAAACTCCAATCCACCAAAATTTACAAGCTTAAATCCTATAAATAGAGGCCTCATTTCATTTGTTAGTTCCATGGTTCTATGATATAGAATTTTCCATGGTTCTATGGTTGGCTAAATTTTGGTAGAACATGATCCTGCACTGATGTTAAGCAGGATGTTATGACATCTCCATCTGGTGTGGTGAAAGAACTGTTGTGGAGTGTTTTAATGTGAATGTCATGCTGAATATCGTGACATCCATCTGCTGTCATGACAACACTACTGTCATGTGTGAGAAACAGCAAGAGTAGTGGTGCAGTAGGAGCTGATAACAGAACTACTGTCATGTGTTGTAAACAGGATGTCATTACCAATATCATGACATCTGGTGCAGCAGGAGCTAACAAGAGCAGATGACAAAACTGTTGTCATGGATGCAGAAGGAGTTGATGACAGAACTGCTGTCATGGATGTCGTACTCAATGTCATGACATCATGTCTGGTACAACAGAGGTTGCTATGTAATATCTCTTGACATAAGTGTTTTGGTACTATTGGACATTCCTCATCAGTATGTATAGGCCAAAAAGAATCATTAGGAACAAAGTGCATATTTAATGTGTGTTCTTAAAAAGGATCTTTGATACTTTTTAGGGAACTATACAACATTTGTTTCTACTGTCATGAAGAAGATTCTGCAGAAGTGTTCAGCAGGACAAGCTGGAAAGCTAAGAGCTAGTGAAGCTGAATGTCATGACTGAATGTCATGACATTAGTTGTATGACATCAGACGGGCAGTGTTGCTTTTCTATTATAATACCTGATATATCTCAGGCTAAAGTTCAGGACACCTGTTATGACTTCCTAGTTATCTCATGCGAGATTATAGTCAGGGCTGGACATAACATGAAGCTGTTGTGACCTAATTTGACAGCACCTTGATTTATGTAAATTAGTTTTACTTTGGTAAACCTAATGTTTGTTACTTTTAAATAGCCCAAGCCCAGTCTGCATTCCTATAAAAGGAGGAGCAGAAGCAGAAGAAATTAAGCACTCAAATCAAGAAAAACCAGAGTGTAAAATAAAGGTCTAGGGTTTGAGAGTCCCTTGTGTGTAAGTCACCCTTTGTATCTTTTGATACATTGTGGTAGACATATTTGTAAGTGAAGAAGGCTAGTCTTCACGTGTGAATTCTGTTTAGGAATACTTGTACTCCAAGCAATTGTCTGGTGGATGATTGCATTGGATAGGTAGATTCTAGGTTGTGTCTCACTCAAAGTTGTGAAGCAAGAGTGTGTGAGTTCCTTGATCAAAGTTGTGAAGCAAGATCAAGGTTTGTATGAAGTGTCTCTTCATATTTTTTGTAATTGTGAATTATAAATCACCGTTATGTGATTGAGGGGGAGTGAGTGGGTATACTCAGGTACTAGAGTGTCTCTAGGCTGAAATTGCATTGGGTAGAGATTAAGTAAGGAGTGTAAACTGGAGGTTTAACTCTAAATTAATTATGCTAATAGTGGATTTCCTTCCTGACTTGGTAGCCCCCAGATGTAGGTGATGTTGCACCGAACTGGGTAAACAATTACTGGTGTTATTTATCTTTCTGCATTTACAATTCTGCACAATTGAAATGGTTAGATAAATAGGCCTGTCAGCCTGCAGATGTCACAACAGACGTCATGACGTTGGTCATGACATTCGGACAATTTAAAGAAAATTAAATTGGTCATGGTCTGTCCTCGCCCTTGTTGAGCAGAGATCAATGTTCTTGGGACATATGTGATCTGCATACCAGAATTTCAATTGGTATCAGAGCAGGCATCCTGTTTGTTCTGGATGGGATCTTGGGAGATACTTTCTGGTGTTTTGGAACAAGGAGAAGTTGTAGCTGAGTTGCAGAGCTTGCTGAATGTTTGAGCTACTGCTCATAGAGCTAAAGAGAAGCTTGAATCTGCTGCTGTGCCCTTTGATATAGGAGCTGTTATGACCTGCTGTATGTTCTGCCCAAGGAGGAGTGACTACTTCTCTCCTATGACCTGATGAATGATCAGGCATCTTATTTAGGGCATGTTCT